TGACTGGTCACAGTTCAGATAATATAATTATTATTTTTTTATTTTTTATTTAACTTTTATTAATTACACTTTATTCATTTTGTATCACTCCATAAGCCCCTCTCTCCTCCCCTCCCGGTCCCACCCTCTCCCCCCCTTTCTGCATGACTAAGATCAGAAAGAAGTAGAGGAGGACCTCCCCTATCAGTGGACTTGGGGAGGGGCATGCATGAAGATAATATAATTCTTACCATACATTCTTGTAATCTAAGAAACTGGATATACTATAGAAATCCACCAGTCTAAAAATATTATCCAGCGCATAGAGATTCTAGAGGTGACCAGGGCAGTAAGGATCTGATCCACTGAAGAGATCTTTCTTCTCTTGACCCAATCCATGATGCTCACCACAGCTATAAATCCATTCCCCAAACTATGAATTCCATAATGAAAATGATTGTAAGTGTGATCATCAGCTCCATACCCATTCTCCTTAAGACAATGTCCCAATACCAGTTTTCTTTAATGATTCCTTTGAATTTATCTAAAATGCTGCAAATATCTGATTTACAAAAATTCAACAATATTCTCAAAGTTTAAAAGGGATTCTGCAAAGCAGCCAAGGATATACTTTGTACATTATTTTCACAGGTCACCTGACTTTATCCACATTCTCTGTCCTAACAATAACAGCTCAGTCTTTTGTCACCAATGATGACACTACATTCTAACCTGCTGCAAGTAAATAAATCTGAGCACATTTGCAAGCCGAAGTGCTTATTCCCATTGGCATCGTAGCTAACTTGTCCTCTCCTCTTTGGGGCATTAACAGTACTAACAATATACTACTTTTTGAGCACTGATCTTCTGTTAGAGCTTGAAAACAGACCGAAAGATCAGATATAAATACACACTCAACACTCAAAAAGTTACAAGCTATTTAATGCATTATTTCTTATAAACTCAGTAATGAAAAACAACATTTTAACATTTTACTGTTTATAAAAACATATTCTTTCCCTTTCTTTCTTTTCTCTCTCTCCTCTTTCATACACACACACACACACACACACACACACACGCACATATACACAAAAGAATTTTCCAGTAACATATATTATTTGTATTAAAATTAATTATTATTAAAATTAAATAATCTGTATTAATAGCACACATAGCAAATATGCGCATCATGTTTGAATCGTGTGGATGATGAGCAACAGAACAAGAAAATTTGAACACAGGGAACTTCGCAGAGACTCATACTCCAACCAAGTACCATGCATGAAGATAACCTAGAACCCCTGCACAGATGTAGCCCATGGCAGTTCAGTGTCCAAGTGGGTTACCTAGTAATGGGAAGAGGGACTGCCTCTGACATGAACTGATTGGCCTGCTCTTTGATCACCTCCCCCTGAGGGGGGAGCAGCCTTACCAGGCCACAGAAGAGGACAATGCACCCCACTTCTGATGAGAACTGATAGTCTAAGATCAGAAAGAAGGAGAGGAAGACCTCCCCTATCAGTGGACTTGGGGAGGGGCATGCATGCAGGAAGGGGAGGGATGGTGGGATCGGGAGGGGAGGAGGGAGGGGCTTATGGGGGGATACAAAATGAATAAAGTGTAATTAATAATAATAATAATAAAATTAAAAAAAAAGAATTTGGTTAATACACTTTCCTTAACATATCATTAAATACAGGAAGTCAATAAACTTGAAGTTCTTCATCTGTGCCTGTGAATGCAGGAGGGAACATGTCCATTGTCTCAGGAAGCAGATATTGAAAGGAATGAGTTCATCCACACAGTAAGAATCATTAACCTCTGGATCCTCCTTGCCCGGATGACACTTTCTCCTATCAGGATAAGAGATATTCTGATTTTATCTACTCCTCTGTGCGTTCTCATATGTCATTTTAATAACATTCAGTACTTCCTATTCTTCTCTCAAAGCCATTTTATTCTACACATATTTATATAATGAGAAACTTGATTATCCTTTATTCACAGGAATAGATTTGCTCACGATAGGAAATAACAACTTTAAACAAAAACACAGAGTTCACCCCCCGCCAGGCCTCCTTAAGAGCACCAGTGAATGTAAAATTCACTTGCATAAAATGATATAGGAATTGGATCAAATATACTAAGTACATCTAATATTAAAATTTAATACAATCCATATATATATATATATATATATATATATGTATGATCTTATATATTCCATGTCTCCACATGTGGAATAAAAGGTAATTAAAGGTAATTAGAAGATTATTGAGCTGAGCGTTTCTGATAATTGTATACTTTAAAGACCTACTTGTAGCTGTTATTCACATTTTTATTTCTCCTTTAAATTTTCTTAATTAGATTAATGAATTATTTTTTCAAAATCATCTACTCATCAACAAATTTTGGTTTTTGAGTTAATTATTATATACTTGTTAATATTTATTATTTATATACACATAATATGTAACATATTATTTCTCTTTCCCCAATCTTGTATTAAATCTATTTTCTTTAATCCCAAGAAAATGTTTTTCATGTCTTTAAATACCTTGTATCTGCATATTAAATCAGTTTATGCATAATAAGTTTGCTTATGCTTTTGTAGTCTAATACCAAGGCCAGCAGTACTGAATTCTGCTGAGGCCTCTGCTTCAGGCTTGGCCAGAAGCCACCTTTCTGCAGGCCCTTCTATGATGATCACCTATGCCTGGACTCCTGAGTTCTGTCCTCACTTCAAAAGAATAGCACTGCTATCGGTTTAAAGCCTCACCTGTATGTTCCCATCAAATATTAATTATCATCATCAAGGCCCTACCTTAGTGTTTAAATGATAACTTAAAAGATTTTGAAGTAAAGCAACTAATTTAATAACAGATGTAGTTACATCTGTTGTATTTACAATACTAATAATTACTAAGCATTAGTGTATAAGAAATAACCCCCATTCATGCTATTGAAAATGTATTAATTATTTAAATTCTAAGGATACAATAATTTAGTGTTTTTGTAGTCTTCAATGCTTTGAAAACAGAGATCACTTCTTTGACAAATGTGAATTATTGCTGAAGTTATTTTTGAAGTCACTTAATTCAGTTAGTTACTACTTTGGATATTAGTTATTATTACAGTATAGATAGTTTCTAAGTTTCAATTGATGTTTGTGAATTTTGCTTTTATTTCCTTAGATGAAAGGATGAGATTAGAGCCATATAAGAATACATGGCTTGAGCTGAGCCCAGAGCATTTCTTTCCCTGTTCTAAACTAGTCCTAGGCCTAGGTCTGGAACATTCTAGCCTTCGTACAAGCTAATATTCCACAAACCTGAATCTTGAAGTCTTCAGCTTCCAGTCTTTGTCTGCTAACCTAGGCCTAGAAAGGTTCAGCCTCTAAGATTTATTGCTGAATAAACACACTTTTCTTTTTTTTTTTCTTTTTTAATTCTTTATTAATTACACTTTATTCACTTTGTATCCCCCATGTGGTTCCCTCCCTCCTCCCATTCCAATCCCTCCCTTCCTCCACTCTCTGCATGCATGCCCCTCCCCAAGGCCACTGATAGGGGAGGTCTTCTTTTCCTTCCTTCTGATCCTAGTCAATTAGGTCTCATCAGGAATGGCTTCAGTATCTTCTTCTGTGGCTTGGTAATGCTGCTTCCCCCTCAGGGGGAGGTAATTAAAGAGCAGGCCAATCAGTTCGTGTCAGAGACAGTCCTTGTTCCAAAACACACTTTTCTAGTTCTTTCTGAACTCTGACTAGCTTGTTCAACTTAACTGTTCTGGCTCAAACTCCTCTCCAAGCTGACTGATTTAAACTGGCCTCAATTGGTTTCTCACTGAATTGCTATGCTTGGCTTCAAACTAACTCTGGCAGTTTGTTCCAGTCATCTGAATTCTTATTCTGTGGTTTCAACTGCTTCAACTGACCCTCCCTGCAAGAACTGCACAAATTGAACTAAATTCACAAAGGAATTCAATGTAACTCAGCTGTACTGGCTGAACTGCACTGTCTGAATTGGTTCAGCTCTGAACAGAGCTGAGCATGACTGAATTAAATTCTGCCTTGCTCCCCTTTAAGAAGCCTCTCCCTCCCATCTGTTCTTAGGAAAGCTGGACATATCCTATCTCTGACTCATTCTGTCAAATCTTTCTCTGATTCATCACATTGTCTTCCCTTTGATTAGACATCATTCTTTGGGATTAAAGGTATGTGCTAAAGGCATAGATGTACTCTAGCCAGAGAGATCAAAGATGTATATTAAGGGTATGTCTGTATTCCAGCCAGAAGGACTAAAGATGTGTGCCATTTCTGAATTACAGCTGGATATGAGATCACTTGCCAGAGCAGACATGTTGCTGGATTAAAATTCCTCTACTTATGTTTGATATTTTCAGATTTCCTTTAATACCTACACATAAGAGCATTTAGGTGGCATTGACTAGTAGAGACTGCACACACTAGGAAAATTAGCCTTGCTCCATTAATACTACTATTATCTACCATTCTAATAAACCAGTAAATCAGGAAAGATGATAAATAGTTAGGTATTAGAAATGAATGAAATAAATTTTTATATGTAGGTGATAGACTTTTCTAGCTGCAAATGACAAGAGAACATGATTAAAATATAAAGTAATAAGGACAATTGGGTAGGTCAGCTGACTTCTAACAAGAATACAAAGGAACAAAAAGAGTTATTCCTTATTCTAAGAATACTTTTGCAATATCACAAAGCAAAATACATAGAATATATCAAAAGCACAACTTTATATGTATTAGTATTACGTGTGATTTTTCTTTATGTTGTGCAAGCTGCTTCCTGGAGTTTTCTATGAAATTTAGAGTTCCTAACCTTTGGACCTGCAGCTCAGGCACCACAGCACAGTAAGCAAGGCTTGTCTTATAGTATTATTCTCCAGAGGTCAGGACACATTAAAGGACGGAAAGAAATGTAGCTGTCACAAAAGAAGTCATCAGATTGCTATCCCTTTCAATACTGAAGTGCAAATTGTTAGAGAAAGAAAATACAATAAAGTGGAAGGAAGCTGGTGATGGGTTGCAAAGCTTTGATGTGGGTTGCAGTGCTGATGTCTCTGCATCCTTTGGCACAGTGCCTCGTGCTCTTCAGACATCTCTGAAGGGAGACAGGGATTGGTGAGCAAAGAAAAGTGATCAGGAACACAATAAAGGGGATGAATTTGAAGATAAGGGTGGTGAATAAAACAATCCTGCAGAATTTTAGAAGTTGATTCAAATTAAAAGTGGAAGACATGGCTTTCTGGTCTATCCACTCAGTCAATACGAGTGCATAACAGTATGATATTTAAAACCAAGAGGACTGTGGGCAATAACAATGTCACTGAAAAGAACTCCTAAATAAACCTCTACTTTTGGTAGAGAAGAAGACAGTTCAAAAAAGTTCCTATTTTTAGAAAATAAAAGATGCTGACGCTGGTAGCCAGCCAGTTACTAACATGATTGGTTGTGATCCAGACAGCATAAATTATTTTTAAGTTTTTTTATTGTGTTTATCCAACAATACATCTGGATAAATTATAGCTAGCAAACAATCTAAAAGTTAACACTCATAGGGAAGTGATTCTGAAGAAATCCAAGGCTATGGGGCTCTGATCTGCTGCAGAGATCCCTCTTCTCTTGACCCAGTCCGTTATATTTACCAGAGCTATGAATGCATTCCCAAAACATCCAGTCATGAATTGCATAATTAAAATGATTACTAGTACACTCTTTTGGACACACTGATTCTCTTTAAAACAATGCCCTAATGTCATTTATAACTACTTAACATTTGTTACTTAATTTGTCTAAATTACTGATTTTTTTTTTAAAAAGTCATCCATGTTAAAGCTGACATACACAATATCAAACCAACCAAAAATCAGTATTATCTAGTTAGTCATTTTTTAATTGGTCGTGAAAATGTTCCATTTTCTCACAGAAGCCACCTGAACTTCACCCAGATTTGTTATGCCTAACATGCAGTAACCCATAATCCTCTTGTCAGATACTGAAAGGCACCCTGACCTCCACTTCCCTAACATTCAAGTAAAACAAAACAAAACAATCATTTACATTTACATTTTGTGGCTTTTTTTCTTTCTGAGTTTTGTGTTTTGACATTTCAAAAGTCCTCATAAATATGACAGCAAATCAGATGCCTCTGGTTTATGTTTCTGTGCATGGCGTTTCTTTGAATGGTTGAGAATTGGGTTTATAACATCAAATGTGTGCATGTTACTTAATGTTCTTCTTCTGTTCAATATATGTTCTTTATCCAATACTTTGAATTATTTCTCATATGCTTTGCGCACATGAACATGTCTGTGTGTGTATGTATGTATGTAGGAATGTATGTATGTATCCATCTCACACAAAAACACCCACACCCATGAATAAATATTCATTTGAACCAAAATTGCTTCTTTATCACTTTAATAATTTGGGTTATTCTCTGATTCATCTATATCTTACTGAAAGTTATGTTAGTGGTCAGGAAATTTTTTAACAATGGTTTCATGTTTATGTTGTAAGGTATTATATGGAGGCATTTAGTCAACTTGAACATTGTTGTCTAAACCTGTGAAAGCAGGAAGACAACTCTACTGTCAAGTGGAACATACATTTATGTGGATTAACTCATCAACCCTGCAAGAAAGAATATTTCTCATTCTCTACCTTCTCCTTGCCCAGAATGAACAGTGTTTAGATTTCATCCTTCTCTCCCCCATTCCATAACTCTGCAATAGAGAGCAAGGCAGGTATAAAAGAGTAGGCTGTCTGATCAGGTTTAGAGCTATGTTATAATGTAATGTACAACTGATCCTCTTCAAAGGATACCTAAAGGGAAAGCAGCAGCAGTATCCGCAGCAGGCTAAGCCACATGAGTCAGAGACCTATGCAGCAAAGATAATCTGTTCTGTGTTGGACAGTGCTGAACCAACTTCAGCCACCTGACTCAATCCTGACCAAAGCCTTAATGCAGTGTGTCTTGAAACGCTGTCACCAGTGGGCATATCTTGCTCAGTGGGTTTGCACTGTAGTTCATAGGGTTGATAGCTAAAAAACAAACAAACAGAAACATTATTTCCCAGCAACCTGGATGGTACATTCCATCATCCTGAGACCTACTTATCAGTAAGAAGCTTCTAGTTCAATTGGATATTGACTTAGCTAGTCTTATAGCCAACCTGCATAGTGTCTTTACAAATAGGGCTTTATTTTGTAGTTCTAGCAGGCAACAAAGAGGAATGGAAAGAGATTGCATTGTTTGGAGGGGCTTTGGGCTCATAGGATATATGCCATACTTGTCACTGAAATTTTTGTAAGGTAAACAATGGCTTCTAAGGTTGTTATTATACAACCATGCAGGATACCTAATTTCTATTGTTTTATTTTTTTCTTATATTTAATTAGCTTACAAAATAGTAGGGAAACTCCAGTTTCTGACTCATCTGTCCTGTCACCAGTATGTATTTTAGGCACCTTGGTCATGAATGTGGCAGTCACTGCATATGTTAAGTATTGAACTACATTATAATGTGACTGAATTATCATTCATATAATTATATCACATTCACATTATGATATAATTATATTATAATCATCTACATTCTACTTGTACATAAATACTTTTATTCTTTTTGTTACTCTGGATTCCCAATACATTAAAATGCCTCAAGAATTGGTATTTTTGCATGAAATTTATTAAGATATTTATAGTATTTTATGTTTTAATGTTAATTGCAATGATTTTTTTAAATTTGTAGTTCTATGGGGTCATGTGATCTGGCATTTTATTTTATTTGTTTCTTCAATATTTTAGCATTTTATTATAAAAAACTTTCCTTATTTTGACCTGTTTTATTCTTCAGTATATTTTTGAGACTATTTCTGATATTTTTCTCTCAGTGATTTTGTTATTGATGTAGAAAACACTCATTTTAAAAATATTTATTTTATATTTTTATAGCCATAACCACACCATTTCACCCTCTCTTTCCTCCTTCTAAAAACCTCCCATATACTTTTCCTTGCTCTTTTTCAAATTCATTGACTCTTTTTTTATTAATTGCATAATGTTACATGTATAGATGTCTGCAAGGCTGACTATTTGCCATTAAATAACCAGTTGATGTGCTCCTCTTTGGAGAAGACTATTTCTCCCATCCTCAGCATTCATTGGTTGCCTGTAGTTCCTTCTCTAGGGTTGAAAGACAGCCCTACTGTCTTTCCTTGGTTTCCTTTGGAATGTATTTACTATTGTAATTGCTCAGCTCATATCTATCATAAGCTTGTTTATAGGTTTTTAGAATTAAAGGTTCACATTCTTAGCCATCACATTAACTGCCAAGGAATTCAAAGCAGAGTTTGTTTTAGATTCTTGCTTACCCAAACAAGAACAAGTAGTTGTCTTATAAGATAACACATGAAGTTTGCTGAGCAGAATAAGAGGAACTTTTTAGTGACATTTTTTCCCATAAACTGATGTGATTTCAGACAGAGAGACTGGGCTAGCCAACTGCCAGCTGTTTTCATGTCCCATCTTTCAAGGGAGTGACTGTATTTTCTGCCAGAAGAGCAAATAAACCAGTGGTTATCAACCTTCCGAATGCTGTGACCTTTTAATACAAATCTTCCTGTTCTGATAGCCCCCACAACCATAAAATTATTTTGCTGCTACTTTATAACTGTAATTTTGCTGTTCTTAGAAATTGTGATGTAAATATCTGATATGCAGAATGTATGATATGTGATCCCTCAAGGGGGTCGTGATCCATAGGTTGAAAAGTGAAAAGCAAGAACAGCTCCAACAATCTGAAGAGTGTCAGAATAGCTAAGTGACTCAATCTTATCTCTCAGTGGAGAAAAATAAAGGTGACTATCTTGAACATACATTGCTGAGAATAATATGCACCAATATAGTTAATCGCTGCTCAAACAACAAGCACAGTAGTTCTTATTTTCCTCTACATAAGCCTGAATTAATCATAATATTCTATGAGTATATTAAGCTTCTCATACTATAAGAAAAATCTGTAGAAATTGAGGAAGACAAAACTTGATGAAGTCATGTTGTTCTAGCCATTAATGTAGTTCTCTAATACCATGAACTCACTGTCAAAATTCCACAAGTAATTTGTGCACTGCTAGAATTACAGTGATGAGTTAATTTAGGCAGAAAGAAAAGTCACCAAGCTTAATTCCCTGGTTATGACATATTTTGTGGCTGAAATTTTTACCAGTGTTTGGATTTTAGATGTGTCTGTGTACACTGAGGTTATCATTTCCTTTTACTTCCTGTGACCAGTGCTAATCAAAAACGCAATGCGGTCTGCTAAAGGAGAAATGTCATGACATTTTTAATGAAAAAAATACAGTTATTCCCTGAACAGTACAAAATAAGCAATAATATATTGCATTGCCTTTTCACTGGAAGAAATCCTTCAGATACAGGTGGAAGCAATGCTAGATTCTTATTTGCTAGTATGTAAATGAAGTTGTATTCTCTTGCAGATTTTACACATCTTTGACTTGCTTATGTTCCACAGGATTTGGTTTTATCAAGTTTGCATGACAGCTAGTAAAATGTTTAAATGTAACATAATCATTTATGGGGAGTGATAACCAGGTCCACAGCATCATATAAAGTTATATCATTTTGATTGAACTGTAATTCCAGAAAATAAAGTAAGTTGTTTCTTCTTTAAAAAAATATTTATTAAATACACTTTATTCACTTTGTATCCCCCCTGTAGTTCCCTCCCTCTTCCCTTCCCAATCCCTTCCTCCCTTCTCTGAAAGTATGCCTCACCCCAAGTCCACTGATAAGGGAGGTCTTCTTTTCCTTCCTTCTGATCCTAGTCTATTAGGTATCATCAGAAGTGGCTGCATTGTCTTCCTTTGTGGCCTGGTAATGCTGCTCCCCCCTCAAGGGGAGGTGATTAAAGAGCAGGCCAATCAGTTCATGTGAGAGACAGTCCCTGTTCTTATTACAACAGAACCCACTTGGATACTGAACTGCCATAGGCTACATCTGTGCAGGGGTCTTAGGTTATCTCCATGCATGGTTCTTGGTTTGAATATCAGTCTCAGGAAAGAGACTGTGCTCAGATTTTTTGGTTCTTTTGCTCTCCTTCTGGGGTTCCTGTCCTCTTCAGATCTTACTGTTTCCCACTTCTTTCCTAAGACTCCATGCACTCTGCCCAAAGGTTGCCCATTTGTCTCAGCATCTACATTGATAGTCTGCAGGGCAGAGCCTTTCAGAGGTCCTCTGTGTCAGGCTCCTGACTTGTTCCCTCTTTTCTCCTTCTTCTGATATCCATCCTCTTTCCCTTTCTGGATAGGGATTGAGCATTTTAGCCAGTGTCCTCCCTCTTGATTAGTTTCTTTAGGTGTACAGATTTTAGTAGGTTTATCCTATATTATATGTCTATATGAGTGAGTATATACCGTGTGTGTCTTTCTGCTTCTGGGATAGCTCACTCAGGATGATCTTTTCTAGATCCCACCATTTACCTGCAAATTTCATGATTTCCTTGTTTTGTTTTGTTTTGTTTTTTAATTGCTGAGTAATATTCCATTGTGTAGCTATACCACAATTTCTGTATCCATTCTTCAGTTGAGGGGCATCTGGGGTGTTTCCAGGTTCTAGCTATTACAAATAAAGCTGCTACAAACATGGTTGAGCAAATGTCCTCGTTGTATACTTGAGCATCTTTTGGATATATGCCTAGTTTATCAGGTATCTTCATGACTGGCTGCAAAGTCCTCCTCTGTGGCCTAGTAAGGCTGCTCCTCCCTCAGGGAGCCTGGGGGGGGGGAGGTCAAAGAGCCTGCCACTGAGTTCATGTCAGAGACAGTCCCTGCTCTCCTTACTAGGGCATCCACTTGGATACTGAGCTAATTTCATTTTTATTGAAAATAGTTTTTATATAATTCTCATCAATGGTTTCTTTCTCTTGCCTCTTACAGGTGTTTCCCAGCTCCCCACTTATCCATTTTCTTATCTTCTTTCTCTCTCTCTCTTTAGAAGACAAACAGGCCAATAAACAAACAAACCAACAAGAATAAAACCAATCACATAGACAAACAAAGAAAAAGAAAAAAAACATGAGGAATACATATGTGAATACTCACACATATGCACATGGACACACACACAGGCAAATTCACACCATAGAAACACAAAATTAGAAACCTTAATAGGAAAAAAAATAAAATAAAAAGACAAGGAAACTAAACAATATGTGTATTAAAAAAGCATCCTTCTTACTGATGTTTAAAATTTCTGTTTAGTTAAAATATTCAGGTTAACTCTAGACATTCTGATATCTACTATAGCATTTCATTAGAATTGTATTAGACAAAAAAAATTCTTGGCTGCATTATCTATTTTTCTTGTTAATGCTCAAGAGTACACACATTTTAAATACATATATATGTTTTTATTTGTTTTCTCAGTTTATTCAACACAATTTAATAAATATGACATGCATTTGCAAGAAACTATCACCATTGCTACTGTGATGATTTATTTTTCACTATGTATTTATTACTAGGTTATATCAACTTTAGAGTTATATTTAGAGAGTTTTCTAATTATTTCCATCTGGTTAACATATCATCCCTACCAATAGTTGCATAAGATAATTAATATCTATCATTTCTCTGTATTGGTATAGTAGGAAAGAAGCCTTATAGAAAAGACCCTATCCAGAAGAGCCTAGAACTCATTGGCACAGGAGACAACTTCCTGAACAGAACACCAACAGCACAGGCTCTAAGATCAACAATCAATAAATGAGACCTCATGGAACTGAAAAACCTGGAACTTTAGCCATGCTTACTCCAAAGAAGCCAAAACTATACAATGGAAAAAAGACAGCATCTTCAACAAATGGTATAGGTCTACATGCAGAAAAATGCAAATAGATCCATATTTATCACCCTACATAAAACTAAAGTCCAAGTGGATCAAAGACCTCAACATAAAAACAGACACACTAAATCGGTTGGAAGAAAAAGTAGGGAAGAGCCTAGAACTCATTGACACAGGAGACAACTTCCTGAGCAGAACACGAACAGCACAGGCTCTAAGATCAACAATCAATAAATGGGACCTCATGAAACTGGAAAGCTTCTGTAAAGCAAAGAACACCCTCGACAGAACAAAATGACAGCCTACAGATTGGGAAAGGATCTTCACAAACCCTTTATATGACAGAGGGTTAATATCCAGAATATATAAAGAATTAAAGAAGTTAAAAAGCAACAAATCAAGCAATCCAATTAAAAAATAGGATACAGCCTCTGAAAGCCAGAAGAAGAAAACAGGAAACAAACTAGGAATCTACCACAGAGGGCCTCTGAAAGGCTCTGCCCTGCAGACTATCAAAGTAGATGCTGAGCCTAATGGCCAACTGTCGGGCAGAGTGAATGGAATTCTACGTAAGAAGTGGGAAATAGTAAGAGCTGGAGAGGACAGGAACTCCACAAGGAGAGCAACAGAACAAGAAAATTTGAACACAGGGAACTTCCCAGAGACTCATACTCCAACCAAGGACTATTCACGGAGATAACCTAGAACCCCTTCACAGATGTAGCCCATGGCAGTTCAGTGTCCAAGTGGGTTACCTAGTAATGGGAAGAAGGACTGCCTCTGACATAATCTGATTGGCCTGCTTGTTGATCACTTCCCCCTGAGGGGGGAGCAGCCTTACCAGGCCACAGAAAAGGACAATGCAGCCACTTTTGATGAGAACTGATAGACTAAGATCAGAAAGGAGAGGAGAATCTCCCCTATCAGTGGACTTGGGGAGGGGCATGCATGCAGAAAGGGGAGGGAGGGTGGGATCGGGAGGGGAGGAGGGAGGGGCTTATGGGGGATACAAAATGAATAAAGTGTAATTAATAAAAAATAAAAAAAGTTTAAAAAAACATAAAAAAAATTGGATACAGAGCTAAACAAAGATGATCAATCCTCAGTCAGAATGTCAGATGGGATGGACATTGGAAGAAAGAGAAAACAGGAAACAGGGCAGGAGCCTACCACAGAGGGCCTCTGAAAGACTCTACCCAGCAGTGTATCAAAGCAGATGCTGAGACTCAAATCCAAATTTTGGGCAGCGTGCAGGGAATCTTATGAAAGAACAGGGAGATAGGAAGACCTAGAGAGAATAGGAGCTCCTCAAGGAGAGCAACAGAACCAAAAAATCTGGCACAGGGGTCTTTTCTGAGGATGATACTCCAATGAAGGACCATTCATGGAGATTAACGAAATGATCTAGAACCTCTGCACAAATGTAGCCCATGGCAGCTCAGTCTCCAAGTGAGTTTCTTAGTAAGGGGAACAAGGACTGTCTCTGACATGAACTCAGTGGCTGGCTCTTTGATCACCTCCCCCTGAGAGGTGAGCAGCCTTACCAGGCCCATAGAGGAGGACAATGCAGCCAGTCCTAAGGAGACCTGATAAGCTAGGGTGAGGTGTAAGGGGAAGAGGACCTCCCCTATCAGTGGACTTGGAGAGGGGCTTGCGAGTAGATGAAGGAGGGAGGGTGGTATTGAGAATGAAGGAAGGAAGAGGCTACAGCTGGGATACAAAATGAATAAACTGTAATTAATTTAAAAAATAAAAATTTAATTTAAAAAAAAAGACTCACCAGAGGCTGGGAAAATGCAAATTGTGAAAATGCAAATTCATTAGAAAGAAGGGAGCTTAAAACTGAAAGGGATTATTTACTCTTAGAAATAAACCACTAAAGTATTACCCAGAACTAACACACAAAACATTGTACAACTTGGGTCAATGGTGGCTGGGATCCATTATGAAGTAGTAGTAGAACTTGATGGCATTACCTGTAGGACTGGTTTCATGGTTGAGCAAGCCATGGCAAGCAAAGGCATCCATTGCCTCTGCATCAGCTCCTGCTTCTAGGTTCCTGCCCTGCTTGAGTTCCTTCCTCGAATTCCTTCATTGATAAACAGTGACTTGGAAATATAAGCCACACAAACTGTTTTCCTCCCTAAGTTGCTTTGGTCATGGTGTTTTATCACAGCAATAGAAACCCTAACTAAGACAATGTGGGGATCAAACTCAGGGCTTCATTCTTTCTTAGGTAGTACTGTATCAACTAAACCACATTTCCCAGTTCATGACTTCTTTTTTATGCTAAAAAGATATGTATTTATTTGCCTAAAACACAGTTTAAGTGTGATCAGTTACTGTTACATTTTAAGCAATTTTAAAATATGGATCAGTTCTTTTTCACTATTGGAACAATGAAGGGAAAATATTTCTCAAGCAATTAAGTTTGATTACTTTTCCCTGCTATTCTTACTTGTTATTATTTTGCTTCTAATTTCTGAATTTCAATTTACCTCTGATAGTATCAAATTTATTCTAATATAAACCACAGGTGAACATTTATGTGACATTATTGGACTAATATGGACTGTATACATTAAGGAAATGTGTTTGTGTACAACTGTTAACATTACTATATTTGATCAAAGGAGAGATAACTACACAGTCATCCTAATAAATAGGAATACACTGTTGGTAACCATTAGCAGATATTTTATTAGAAAAGACAAGCATATAAATTGAGCAAGTGTTTGTCTCAAAGTGAGAGTCAGTCTTACACTTACTGGGAAGACAGGAAGAGACTTTTAACATACCAACAGAGAAAATGCTTATGACAATTACTTTATGTTTTGAATTTTTGAGCCATTTTATTATTCGACCGACTTGTCTAAAATAATAACAAATAATAATAATAAAGAAAGAAAATAAATTATTTAAAACATTATAAATAGTTATATGCAAATGACATGATGTTGTCCTACTTCCAAAAGACAAGACTGATGTAAAAAACAAAGTACAGAAAGATACACTTGAGGATTTTGCTCCTATTCATTAACTGTAAAACACTGCAGAAATGTCTGATATGTCTGTTATCTAATGCAGACTGGTAAATTTTGAAACAGGACACATGACAAAATATTTACAGGATTATTTACTAATAATAAACCTGGGTATTTACCACTATGGTTGATGTATATTTGGACAGGGCCATGTGAAAATTTTTGTGGAATATTCAGAAAGTAAAGAATAAAGAATATACAAAAGGCACAAATTTAGAAATTCAGTAATTTCTTGTGAACCTATTTTCCTCTCTAATATGCAGAGTGACACATAGAGAGGCCTAGACTCAGGGTTTTCACGTGTTTGCACCAGTACCTCAGCCACTGCGGTCCTGAAAGCAAGTCCTGTCGCAGCTTTCTGTGTCCCAAAATGAAGACACAGGAGTGAACAGAAGGGTAAATTGTCAAAGGAATCTTGGCAAACATGAGGGTCAGACTTTCAGACATATCAGATGTCAAAACTTCCACAACTAGAGACAGAAAGAAAGTAATGTAAAATAGGAAGGCGACCACAGTCTGCAAGGCTGTGATGTGGGCCATAGTCCAGACATCTCTGCATCCTTTTTTGTAATATTGCACCTTCTTGACATGTTTCCAAAGGGAGAAGATGAGGAGGAGGAAAGTATCAAGGATACGCCAAAGGGTACCAATATGAACATTAAACTTGGCAATAAAAGAAGCTTGGAAAACTCTCCAAAACTGCTTGAACTCAGATTGTTAGATGTGTTTCTTTTGGCTCCATCCACCCAAGCATCAATATGTTTGGTTACTAGAAGAATATTAAAACAAACAAAAGGACCAGTGACAGCACCAGTGCCACCAAAACCACCCTATTAGCTCTCCACTTTAGGTAGAGGAAAAGAGACTATAAAAACATTGCTATTTTGAGAAAATAAAAGATACTGAGGCTAGTAGCAAACCACATGCTGAAATGATTGCATATATTCCAAGCAATCTGGATCAGTCTTAATGTATTTCAGGTCATCAGAACGGGGGAAGACTGTGTAAAAACAAATGAATCTAGAAATAAAATCCACACCAGGGTGAGTCTGGAGATGGCCAGCGCAGTGAGGATCTGATCCACTGAAGGGACCTTTTTTCTCTTAACAAAATCCATGCAATTTACCAGAGCTATGAATCCATTTCCCAGGTTTCCAATGGAGAACTCCACAATGAAAATGATTGTCAGTATGTTCTGTAGAGCAGCATGCATTCTTAGGTGATCTCAAAGTCGGTTTCCATTGATGAATATTTCTTAGTGGATTTTTCTAAAACTCAGAAATATTCTGCATTAAAAAATGTATACGTACAATGTTAAAATAGAAAAAAAAAAGATTACTTGTGACTTACCTCTCAGTGTTAGCATGAAAATCTTGCATTTTCCCTCCAGCTTGGCTTAAATTCTTCCTAGTTCTGTGGCATAACACATCATTCCATAAGTGATGAAGGAAATACTGAATTTCAATGTACTGATATGCAAATAAAGAATTGCTCATTTGTAAATTTTGCCATCTCTTCCTTTGTCCCTGAAGGTAAATCACTTACTTGATTTTAGGAAATCGGCATTAGAAAATCATAATTATTTGGAACTTTTCCTACAAACTATGCTGTATAATAATATCAAATTATTTACAAATACTGAATAATGGGAAATATCTATATATATTCGATTTTCATGTGTATAAAAGATATGCATATTCAGTTTACAATTCCAAACACACACAGTCACACACATACAGTCATACACACACACACACACACACTGCTTACTAACCATAGCTTACTTTGAACAAAGTCCCTGATTTTGCTAATTCTGCTAATTGTGCTTTTCAACACACATGCTTTGGCCTCTTTCTTAGCACTGATTAAGTGATTGCATAAAAAACATTTAGATATATGCTACAGTCTTTAATGAAGGTTCTTGAAGATGGAAGAAATGCTTTTTCAGGGAAGGAGATGGTGGTGAGACTTTTGTTTATCTGTAGAAAATTATATCTTGAATATGCACCTTACAGTTCATGTGTTTTAAATACTGTGCCAGTCATTATTTTGGGAAGAGGTAGAAATTTTGAGAGCTTGGGCTGTACGGGAGGACAAAGATCACTGATGCTATACCTGAGGGAGCACTTATCTTGCTTCCCAACACTTTTCATTTCTGTTCCTACTCTCTGTCCTTCATGAAGTGAGCTGTTTGTCACCAACACATTTCCTTTCATAAATTCATCATTATTTTAAGTCCACAGAAATGGAGTCAGTTAACTATGGGCTGGATCTTATACCATGACATAATTGTTTTTCTTCTTACGTTTTAGAGCAACTAAACATCTAATGAAAACAGATAGTGTTTAAACACAGAACTGGAAGCTGTGGAGATTTTTTATATCAACCCAAATGAAACCTGATATGCAAGTAAAACAGTTGGTCGCTCTGTCCCATGACAGCTAGAATGTTAGGTTGTGGTTACATATTCCAGAAGTTTTGGTTAGCTCTTCCGCCCCCCCACACACACACACAAAAAAAGGGTCTAAGTGCTGAGAAACTTTTTCAACTACCAAATACATACACTAAAGAAAGGTCTGTGTTCTCAAATGACATGAGGTATTGTAACATCCTTTACTGCTTGATTCCCTTTTAGGGCTTTTCAAGAGGAAAATGGAAACAAATGCTGAAAGGGAGATACAGTGCACTATAATCTGGAGGTCAGAGAAGTTTATCCTGATTCATGTCTATTTATCTCATATTGATCTCAAATCTTCTAAAGATTCCAGTACAAAGTACACAATGCTTTGCAAGGTCTACTCGGGTCAGCGCACTCTAACCATTCTCTGAAGTGTTCTATCTGTTGTCTGAGTAGACATAGGCTTAAATGGTCTCTGTCTGTTAGCTGCATTATTTCTTTTGATAAGATGAGCTTCTTCACAGGCTAATAACTATTTAGTCATTTATTCATTTAAAAATGTCATTTTGGTCAACTGTCATATGAGCTGTTGTATGTACCAGACGTCCACACTGAAAATTCCAGACATCTCTGTTTTCATGGTGTCTGTGCTGTGTTAGAATAGATAGGTAATAAAGAAACAAATATATGAATTTCATCTTCCTCCCCTGTGACCTGGTTAGTAAGTCCCATCAGGGGGAATTGATCAAAAAGTAAGCAGCATAGTCCATATCAGAGATATCCCCCACACTCAAGTGGAGCCACATGACATCTAAGATGCCCATTGGGCTTATCTTCTTTGGCTTTGTGCATTGTAGTATGTCTATCCTGTATTATATGACAAAAAAAAAAAACATTTATAAGTGAGTATATACCATGTGTGTCTTTCTGGGTCTGTATTACATCACTTTTCTAGTTCTATCATTTGCCTTCAAATTTCATGACTTCCTTGTTTTTAATGACCTAGTAGTATTCCATTGTGTAAATGTACCAAAGTTTATTTATCCATTCTTCGGTTAAGGGACATCTAGGTTATTTCCAGTTTCTGGCTATTACAAATAAAGCTGCTATGAACATAGTTGAGCAAATGTCCTTGTTGTATGGTGGAGCATCTTTTGAGTGTATTCCCAGGAGTAGTATAGCTGAATCCTGAGATATGGCTATTCCCAGTTTTCTGAGAAAGTGCCACATTGATTTCCAAAGTGGTTGTACAAGTTTGCACTCCCACCAGCAATGGAGGAGGGTTCCCCTTTCTCCACAACCTCTGCAGCATGTGTTATCACTTGAGTTGTTTTTTTTTTCCCTAGGAGGTGTAAGATGTTTCTTAGAGTGTTCTTGAACCATGGGGCTCACCCTTTCTAGATCAGAACCTCAACCTCTGTATTACAGAAGGCAAAGCCTGAATTAATTTACTATTTCCCAGAATCAGGAAAAATGAATGGACAAAAGAAAAAAATGCCAAAATAGTCTTAGCAGTGAAAATAATCAGAGGCATCTCTTCTTCAAATATCCACACTTGCAAAAATAGGGAACAAATAAAATTGACA